TATTATTATTATTATTATTATTATTATTATTATCATTATCATTATTATCATCATCATCATCATCATCATCATCATTACATCGTCAATCTAATTCTACTTTTAAAATATATTTTTATTGCTACTTGTAATTTGAGTTTCTAAACTTTTGATCTTTTATAAGGATGAGATATTTTAATAAAAATACTATCTCTTCTATATATTGATTATCAAAATTTAATTATTTTTTAATGTATATCTAAATTAAATATTTATTCTAATGTATAATTCTAATTTTACAAAAAAATAATCATAAAATAAAAATATTATTACATTATAATATGAATGATTATTCTAATATATGAATTGACTATTTTTATTTTATTAAAAAATAATCATTAAATAAAAAATGTTGATTATATTACAATTTTCAAATGTTATTATAAAGTCAAATTAAATTATTGATTTAAAATTTTAAATTAAATCATAATTAATCAGATCAGATCAGATCCAATCAGATCAGATCAGATTCAATCAGATCAGATCAGATCCAATCAGATCAGATCAGATCAGATCAGATCCAATCAGATCAGATCAGATCAGATCAGACCAGATCAGATCAGAACTTATTAGAATCAGATCAGATCAGAAAAAATAAGTTGAACGAAACGGAGCCTTAAGCCCGCGATTAGATTTTTAGTGAATTAGAATGAGCGGGCCGAGATTTTTTAAGGTTCTTAGTGATTAATTTTAGAATTTCAATTACTAAAGAGTTATTAATTTAATAAAATAAATATACTTTCTTAAATTAAGTATAAATAATTAATTTGGGACACTTAATTATGTGGGTACATGAAATTATTTATAACAACTCCTTTAAATGTGGGGAAATCTTAAATTGTTAAAATCTATTGCCACATTTAGTCAAGTGTGGCAAATTAAATGCGGCTAAACTCTACTTTTCTTGTAGTGCATCATTGACTATGAGACTAAGTCAAACATCCAACACACACTAGACTCACATGCATTAACGATATCCCACTCTCGTTAATACTCGACTATGGACATTTAGATAAATATTTATTTCAAGATGTTAGTCTCATCAGCAGAATAACACTATCCGATAAACATCTTTTAAATATAAATCTAGGAATATGATATTTGTTTACATTAGCATGAGATGTGTAAACATATTATATCTGCCTATACATGAGAGAATAACGATAAACAGTTGGCCATCAGGGCACAACTCCAACAATCTCCCACTTGCACTATGGCCAATCTGGCATCGGTCAAATGCCCATGGACCTAGTGTGACCCTCATGCTTTAGCTTTCCTAAAGGCTTGGTCAGGGGATCGGCTATGTTGTCGTCAGTATCTACTTTGCAAATCATCACATCTCCTCTGTCTACAATTTCTCGTATGATGTGATAGCGTCGTACAATATGTTTGGTTTTCTGGTGAGATCGCGGTTCCTTTGCCTGTGCAATGGCCCCAGTGTTGTCGCAAAACAACGAGATAGGGTCATTAATACTAGGAACCACTCCAAGTTTAGTAATGAACTTCTTGATCCAAACAGCTTCTTTAGCTGTCTCGGCGGCAGCTATGTACTCAGCCTCTGTAGTCAAATCGGCGGTTGTATCCTCCTTGAAGCTCTTCCAGCTAAAAGCTCCGCCATTCAGGCAAAACAAATATCCTTCTTGTGATTTTGAATCGTCTCTGTCGGTTTAGCTCTTCCTCACCACCGTATACCAGGAATGCATCCTTAGTATTGCGAAGATACTTGAGGATGTTCTTGACCGCTGTCCAGTGTGCTTCTCCTGGACTTCCCTAGTATCTGCTGGTCACGCTTAAAGTGAATGAGACATCAGGTCTAGTACATATCATGGCGTACATGATGGATCCAATCGCAGAAGCGTATGGAACCTTCATCATGAGTTCCTTCTGCTCGGGAGTAGAAGGACTCTGGCTCTTGGAAAGAACCGTGCCAGGTGTCATAGGTAAAGATCCTTTCTTTGAGTTAGACATGCTAAATCGATCAAGGATTTTATC